CGAAAATGACATACAGTTCTTCAGACTAATTGAATCCCACCTGAAAAGGGTAGATCGACCTATAAATCGAGCACTTCACAACGCAGACATATCAAAACTTCTATATAAGCACTGCTTTTTACATCGATGTTATTCTATTAGCTTACTTGCAGGCTGCCTTTAGGGCAATATTCGGTCATAACGCAGATATTCGGCGGGTCAATGCAAGCACCAATGAACCGTGTCACATGGTCGTGTTGCAGATCCCTCATCTGAAGGAACAGAAAAAAACAATTAATTAATTTCAATTAATATGTTAATATAATTGCAACAATGCAATCGTTATTATTGAGAGCGTATACCAACACCACAATTTACAGCATTTATACATGAAACAAGGTAAAAATGAGTCTGATAAGATATTCCACGTAGCTTGTCTAGTATGCTTGTCTAGAGACGTTTAGTAAATAATAAGCATATTACTTAATGTTTCAACTGAGCCTTGCGTTCTCACATATTCCGAAGTAGCCGCTAAGAATCGGCGCACTAGACTCACTAACAGTGTATGCCATGTTCGGTAACATTTATTCATTTTCATTTCAGCAATTAAACGGGACAAATGAAATGTACACAACTTTAATATCGAGGTATGCTTTGTTTTGTTTTTTTTGTTTTTTTTTGTAGAATATATTACGAGGATACCTATGCAAGAAGACAGTACAGCGGGAGTATCGACATACAGTACGCCGACGCATCGACCTACGCTGCGCGTGCGTCGATACTGCCGCTGTATTTACTGTCTTCGTGCATACTTTGAGATATCTTCGTGGTAACCTCATAGTATTAGGTCATTGCGTGGATAACGCAGAGTAATAAGCGTATTATTGTTTTTGTCCCAACATAACCTGTGTGTAGCCCCGAGATGAGTAAGAATTCGCAAATTAGTGAAACGCTTTCTTTGCCAACTTGGAATTATAGCTTAATGGCTTAATGTTTGGAGTTCGCATGTCCTAATAAGATAGATTGTAGATATCTTGTGCAAAACTACCGTAATATTTATACAGCGACGATGATAGACAACAGTACGCATTACATATGCCGTTCCCTGTGATGGAAAACTGCGGAACTGGGCCGGGACATATAGCTTTGTTCTTGTTCGTCAGTCAGTCAAATTGGGGTTCAGAGCGGAATATACTCTTTCCAAAAACCACTTCATATTTGCCACGAGTTCTCATAATATTTTAATTTTGCACTTCTGTGTACTTGTTTTTATCTGAATAGTTGTTTGATCAATTGATTGTTATGTAATTGTCATTTATTCGTTTGTATGTATGTAACTATAGATATGGCAGCGGTTTACGTGGATCATTTTTTCTTCTTTTCCCTATATGACTGTAAAATTCGAACTCTGTATATTGAATATGTTATAGTAAAGTTGGCCGGTAATTTGCTGTGTTTTCCTCCCATTTATCTGTGATGCATGCTTTTTTTTTTATAAACGACATGATAACGCATGTAGGTTAATGTCCCTTCGGAAGCCACACTGCCATGCAACCAACGGTAAATTTTTTTCACAAATTGGAATAAGCTGTTTTTAGACAAACAAGCCAGTATTTTTTGAAGCCTGCATGTAATTACACGCTTTATTATAATCTTTTTTTATTCTGCGTTCGTCGACGGTTGAAACAAGTTTGTACTTCTGCGTTTTTGGCACATCACGTGACCCATAACTTATATGCAACGGAATGATATTTTTGATAAATTATACAGTAAGTTTTAAGTACATTGACTAACGGAGTGATGTTTTAATGTATCGAGCACGAGTGGCTCTGTCTACTTTTCTGCGGCTGCGAGAAAATAATAAAACGCAGGCATTGATTGATGTGGGTATACCTACTTGATAAGTATCAATGAGATGCACTGCAACAATGGGATCGATAGCTCCGAGAATCTTCTCCTAATTAGACACACACTGGGAAGAATACATCGTGACCGGGTCTCGTTTAGAAGAGTATATCGAAGTTGTTAAAATGCATCTGGCGGGATATATACTGTGGGCAATGTGAACTTTAGCACTCCCTGAAGTCATGGTGCACAGAAGTATACACCATCAGTCATCGGGAATCTTTTATTTTCACTATATCCATTTTATCGTTTGCCTTATAAAATTGCCATATGGGAGAACATGATGCACTTTTTTAATGAACCAAGGCGCGTGTTAAGGAGTTGTCTCTCCAGTGGTATATTGCGAGCTGGGAACATCTACCTGCGTAATAATTCTAATATTGGCCTGCTCTTGTCAATATACAATCACTTGCCCATGATTGTTTCAAAAATGTTAGCTAATATTCCGTGACGGGTATGATGATTTAGTGCTTGCTAATATGAGACATGTTTTAAACGAGGAAGTATGTTTTTATATACTGGCATCACGTTCAGTGAACCAAATATAATTCCAACATCACACATCTTACCTTGAAATATCAAAAAAACAACACGTACCCGTATATATAGAAGTGTAGATCTGACACATATTTATGGTAATTGTAACGTTAACAGATAAAACGATAACATCTCACTGTACTTATAACAAATGGTTGAATAATCTGGTGTTCCAATCTCACCAGAACTTTCATTTTACGATCAATCCTTGTTCAACGTACGAATATGTTTCACACATAATCACGTTCACAAAGATGATGGGTTTATCTTACAGTCGGCGTGAATATATTTATATTTTTTTTAAATACGTTGCACGTTTTCTACAGAAGTAAATATCATTCATCGATTCCCGCATGCACTCAATCGTAAAAAGTACTGAAGTTAAAAACAAATATGAACTCGTTCGTTCATATGGCTGTCGTCGTATTTTAAATACCGAAAAAGCGCTAATACTCATTATAAATGCACTACACAAAGTAAACCACGTACAAACAATAATTTGACATATTATGTTACGTCATCGGATCTACGGAATGTGTAATGTTGAAAAATTAAACAACTTAATACTCACGTGTTTAAACTCCAGTAATATTTGTCTGTTGACTTCTACTCTTCTTTTGTCGATTCGCTTTATAGCAACAATATTGTTCTGAACATTGCATACAAAAAAAAAAAACGAAACGTGAAATAATTATGTTTTATACATTTTAATTATGCTTGTATTAATGGTGTTCATATACGTTTATTGATATACTGATAACGAGCAAGGTATACAACTATAAAATGCCGTTAAATGTTAAAGGTAACTCGTACAGGGAAATCAAGTTTTGTTTAAAATGCAATATGGGCGAGAACATAAATTTTTTAAGTATTTTTCTTTGATATCGCAAGTTGATAGATACATTGGATTTATCATGAACTGCAAACATTGTTCTTGTAACGCACATGTTGAGTATTTGTTGGATGAAACATTAAAATTCTCTTATGCGCATGTGCGCTGG